AAAATGTTGTGTAAATTGATTGGACGGTTTTTGAAATATTAGAAAAAAGTTATCTCGATAATAATTTGGCACGCAGTGTAGATATATCCATCAGTTTATTGATATCTATTTCTCTGTTTTTTTTTTTTTTTTTTAAAGTGAAGAGATTATGATTGTTGTGATTGGGAAAACATCCTGTCGGGAGTCTGTTCCTCAAAGCACTAGTTCTTAGGAAGAAGCTATCTAAGTGGAACTTCTTCCTTAGTAATGGAATACAAAAGGAATATTTCTCTTCTGACCCATCCCAGGTTACTCAAAGGGAGGAAAGACTAGCTTCTAAAATTCACTACGGCCAAAACCAAGCTAGTAACGTTCCGTCACCACCGAGCAGACCCCGAACTCTCATCTATCATGATGGATGAGTCTTCTCCTAATGCCTTGAACGTCCATTGGGACTCAAGCTCTCCCCAGGCCTCTGGTGGAGCTACATCGTTGCCTGTGGTAGAGATGGTAGTAGTGGTTGCAGGCTATGGCTGCAACATAATTTGGTGGGAATAAGGCTGGATATTTGGTTCTTCTTGGTATTTTTCTTTGGGATGAAATCATCCATGCCTGAGAGGATCCATTCAGAGATGAGGGAGGCAGTTCTGGGAGTTCTATTTTAGAAAAGAAGCCTGAGATGGGGGAGGCTTCCACAATGTATGATCTGAAGCTCTCCCAGTCAGGTTTGGCATGCCGAAAGATCGTCATGTGAAATGGTACATCAGGGAATGATTTCGATTTGGCATCAAGTTTAACACTGATCAGCGAGTGGTCAGAACAGCCCAAAGGAGGCTGCACTTCACCGGAGTATTTTTCATGGCAAGATGTGAGAAAGAGGTGTAGAAGGTTTATGTGATGTCCTGTTTTGTGTCAGGAACACGAGTGGGCTTATCTGACAGTAAAAAAAATACTATAGAGGGGGACATCGCGAAAGCACATGGACGTGAAATCTGGGACCTCGTTTTTGGGATCTCTTCGACATGGGAACCCATCCTTCATATAAGCGCCGAATTCATGACGATTAGGGGCGAGTAGCTCTGGATTGTGTTATCCTGAACTGGGATAGGTGGGTTAAGACCGGTTTCCAATAGGAACATGGGGTCTTGTTTGAACTCGTGAGGATGATGGCCAATTTCTGGAAAGTTGAATTGTAGACTCTTCACATTTGTGTAGGGAATGCTGAACTTGGGATCTATTCTTTTTTTCTGCGGGGTTACACCAAGAAGCCCTACTGGAAACTTCACGTTCCAGATCCCATTCACAAAATGACAGTACAATAGCCCCAATATTATACACCTTCTGATGGGATTGCCTTCTCAGGAGGTTCAGATCCCTGACTATCAGGGTGTAACGCCAACCCAGAAGACGTTTATCTCCAGCACCTTTGATGAAAAAAAAAAAAAAAAGAAAAAATCTAGGAAAGAAAAAGAAAATGCAGGCAAATTATCCGGAGTGGACACGCTTTTATTTATCCCGAATTCAAAGTAGCAGAACAAAATCATCGTGGCTATACAGAGAGCTCAGGCAGTGAGACATGCTTTGTCATTTGTGAGGACCACTGGAAGAAGTGGATTACAATGGCTGCTCGGGGACTTAGAAGCATTCCTGTCCCACAATGAATTCATATTACTTAAGGCATAACTCCTGAGTGAGAAAGTTAATGCTAAGAAGACACAGGTTATTTGGCGAGCAAAGGACGACCGGTGTACGTATAAAGATTTAACGTCTCCTTAGGCATAATTTAACCGCGAAAATGGAAAATACGAAACTATTTTTATTTATTTCTTTTATTTATTTTTAAGGGGGGGGGAAGAGGAACATAAATATTTTAAGAATTTAATAACCTAAGAATTTATAATTATGCTAACAAGTTCAAAGTTTTGGAACTTTCTAAAATTTTTAAACCAACATTGGCAGAAGAAAATAATGAATTAAATAAAAAAAAACCCAAAACAAAACAAAACACAAAAGTAACAAATTTGATATTTCAGTTAACATCCCTCCCCATCAAAACGGACACCAAATAGGCCAGATACGCCGGACGGTTGAGTTAACTGTTTCTGTTGTGATTACAAGCCCAGCGAACGATTATTTTTTAACAAACTAATAATATTCTGCTCTGGCAGCCATCTTAAATGCATCTTTTTTCCTTCTTCACTGAAGTCTACTTTTTAGGGATCGGGATTGATGGGATCTTTACTCCAATTTACCCATCCTAACACGACGAAATATTATGCAACTCTATGAACAACAAACTCTTGTACTTTCATTGAGCAAATAAAAAACAAAAACGTAATTACTAAATACCACCAGATGCAATATATCCCTGAAGTAGACTGAAAAACATTACCGAAACGACGTGATAATAATTCAACTTAGAACAGTCAGGCAACGGGTAAGGTACCCAAAAATGTTTTGAAATTGGTAGGTGGGGAAGTTAAGTTTCTTCCTACCAGCGCCAGTGATCGATGGTCGAATCTAAGCAAAAACCAGAATCACGGGTGCTGATTTTCCAAACAGGTAGATTGGCTCAAATCAATCTTCCCGCTGTTCTTAGTTTAGCCGTATACTAGACGAAGATAAGATTAATTAACATCTATATAAATATTTATTCAACTGCCTCATTACATTGTTTACATTCAAGTGAGAAAACGATTTCTTGCCAATCTTGTGATTAACTATGGGGGAGTGGTTTACCAAAGTGATAATTAATCTGCACTTTTTTTAGTGACTGTTTATTTCCCAACAGCGACAACAGAACGCCTTAAAAGTCAGGTTAAAATCAAGTTTTCGATTACTTATATAAAATGCAGGCCTTATCCACTTGAAAAATTGGCGTAACACAGTCTTCATACCTATATTTTTCCCATTTCGTCTTGTGCAAGAAGAAGCTAAGCTTAACCCGTTAAATGCGAATGACGGAAATTAATACCACAGTTCTTTTTAATGCTATGTCACTTCATGACATTGACGGTTATGACTCTTCACAGCAATCACTTCTTTATTATTTGGTTTCTTGGGAGAGATATTGGAGTGGTTTCCTGTTGCCCAATCCAGAGTTTTGAATTTAAAGTTGTCTCTTTCCTAGACTGGCTGCCACTCAAGGCTAGAATACTCAGTCTACTTTGCTATTTAGCCGACAGCTGCTGATACCCTTAATAAACATCAAAACTTTTAGCTTGTGTACAATCCGAAAGAACAAAGAATATCCTGGGTTCACTTGCAGAGGCTTACAGCCATATCACGTTGAAATACCAGTTCTTGTACGATCACCAAATCTAAGCAACGCCGAGCTTGATTAGATGGGGGACCGCTTAGAAATATAAAGTGCTGTAAGGATGGAGGTGCGGGTGGTGTACTGGATAATGGTTCGGAATTGGAAATCAGAGAGCCAAGTTCTAATTCCAGTCGGGGTCGTTACATTCACTTACGCCCAAATTTCCTTGAGAAAAGCATGAATTCACCAATTCTCCCTCCAGTCAGTTAAGTGACATACGTGAACACGCTTGGGGGATCAAGTATCTTTCGATACATGGGTGATGAAGCAGATTTTTCCCGCAGTAGATTGCCATTTCTTTCTGCGGTAGACTGGTTGCCAACCAAGGCTAAAGAACCCAGTCTATACTGCTATTCAACCCATAGTTGTGTGTGTGTGGGGGGGGGAAGAGATGGATTAATACCTTTTCCAATGGTATTAATCCAGATGATGATTCTTCGATCACTACAATCTTAATCTGTTCAAGTCTAGAGTTAACCGTTGTCTTCCCCACATATCCCCAATAAACCGCGCCTCTTACTTTGCAGGCCTCTACCTCGAGTGACTCTTGAGCCTTGTACGGTGCGAACACCATTATAAAATAAAAGACTGATAAGCTGTAAAGAACAAACCAAGCAAATCAACCAATCGCTCTCAGAATTCGTCATTGTTTTGTTTCTACTTTTTTCTTCTTTGGTTCATGTTTCTTCTTTATTCATGAATTTGGTAATTTGTAATTCAATAATTAGATAATTGAATTTCTACCTTTCGACTTGGTCACGTATCTTATCGACTAAATTTATTTAAATTCTTCACAAAACAAAATGGTAGGAAATTACGAAAGGAAAGTGATGTTTTGCTACTCTTGCAAGTAAAGCTTGCCAACCTTGAAAATCAACATTCAAAATCTCGTCCTTTACAGCACTTGAATACTGACTAACGCATCTGGTGCAAAAGATACAAATCTATCAACCATGCCGTCGGCTCCAACTAAAACATTGACAAAGCTGAGCTTAGTGAAAAGGTTAAATGAGAGAGTAATTAGGAGGGAGTTTTAGGCATGAGGCGTTATCATTATTTATATTATTTTGCAGTCGGATTGAGTTCATCACTCAGTACAAGGCCCAAGACCTACTCAAGTCAGAGGGTTAATGAACGAGGTTGTTTTATGAACATAAGAGGAGGAGGAAGAGGAGGAGTAGGAGTAGGAGGCAAGATGTGTATATTATGAGGACTCGGGGGGAGGGGATAGATAACGATTGACCCCAGACTTGAAGAGGTTAAAATTGTGTGTATAAAAGAGGGAATTTCTGGCATGGGGTGTTATCAATTCTTTTGCAGTCGGATGAACGTACCCATCTTTGTTTTTTGACAATATTCTTGACTTATTAAGAGGCCCAAGACCCATTCAAGGTAGATGGTTACTGAACGAGGTTGTTTTATAAATATAAGTGGAGAAGATGGAGGTAAGAAGTGATTATCAGGATAAGTTTGATTGGTTGATTGATTTGTTTTTTACGGTTTAACAGGTTATTTACAGCCAGAAAATATTTTTAGAGTGTAATGATTTACTATACGAGTCCTACTAATTAACCCATAGTTGGGGGAAATCAGGTGGATTCATACTTTTCCCAAGGGTAATTAGGCGTAATTGAATATAACAAAATCCATACCGATTCCCAATTCCAAGCCGTTATCCATTACGCCACCCGCACATCCAAGTTTACAGTCCTTGGTATTTCCAAGCAGTCACCCATCTAGGTACTGACCAGGTTCGACGTTACTTAACTTCGGTGATCGTACGAGAACCAGTATTCAACATGATATAACCGTAAGTCGACGATCGGTTGGATAAATAACGGTTGAACCTAGACTTGAAGAAGCTTGTTAAGCTTGCAGTGATTGGGAAAGCAACCTCTCGGGAGTCTGTTCCACGTTGCAGCGGCTTTTTGGAAAAAGTTTCCCGAATGGATCTTCCTTGTTAGCAAAAGAATATGAAAGTAATGAAGAGGATTTAACCCCTGGAGTTATCGCAATGTTTCAGCCATTGTATTTTCCGGCCCTTTTCAGTTGTTTGAGGATCCTGGTAATCATCTAGAAATTTAGAATTGAACACTTTATTTAATCAATGGGGTAGATTGTTCTCGTTCTGGTGTCTTGGGATATCTCAAGTTCTATTTTTTAATATTGCTCAGTTATTTTCTCGCCATATTTCCACTGAGTCTAAGTCTGCAATTCGGAGGACATAATGTCCGAAACGTTGTGATAATTACAAGGGAAATAATCTGAATTCAAATAAGGTAAATATTTTTGGAGGAAGAATATAATATATTGCGTTAGTATTTCAAATAGTGGCGAAGGGGTTTATCTATTTTGAATACTAAATCCTTTATTTTTTATTAAATCCCATGTAACTTGCATAACTAATTCACGTACCATAGAAATCTCAGTGACGTATGTTAAGTAATTTTGCGTGTACTTGTTTCATGTATATGCGTTTCAGAAATAGAAATGACAAAACATCAACTGTAAGAAGACAGACAGGGTGTGGTCGTCAGCAAGAGTAACATCTAAAGACGCCAACTATGAATTGGAAATATCAAAATCAAGCAACTACGAAAATTGAAATATCTTGGAAGTGTTTTAACAGAGGACGGAAAATGTGACATCGAAATACGAAGCAGCATTGGAATAGAGAAAAGATAAGCAAAGAATTAAGAAACTTGAACATTTCGTTAGTGTTACGTGTTGATAATTGTAACAAAGGAAAAAAAATGATTTACCACAACACAGAGCTAAATCACAAACAAATATTTAATTTACTAAAACAGAACATAAAATATATACAGGATAAACAATTGTGGCCTACAAAACAGAAAACAAAGAGTTACTGGCAAGTGTTACGAGGGAGAAGGAAAGGGAATCAAATATCTTTATCACTTTAGGGCTAGTGAAGTAATCTAAGTGCTATATTTGGAAATCCACAAAGTTGTGTAAATAAATATTAATTTTTTAGTTTGGTCAATGAAAATTAGTCAAAATTCTATTTACCAACTTTGTTCCATGAAATACTCTTTTGGGTTTTGGTTGGTCGGCAACTTTTTATAGAGATTCTTTCAGCTGGATATAATAGTCCTTGAATCAAAAGCCGGAGTTGATAACAGCAGAAATTCTCATTCATTAACGTTATTTATTTCTGTAAAATACAGAAAATGTGGCACAAGGCCGAAAAGGGGGAGGAGCGAAAGGACGGTCATCATCTGTCTTAATTTTAAAACTTAGCTAGCCACAACCACTGACCCAATCATACAAGACAATAATCCACGCACCAAAACAACACACTCATACTTACCTTTCTTACTACATTCACCAAAATACCTCATTGTCTCAATGAACAACCTAACTAGACCCCGTATGTACAAATCTTTGTCTGTGGGGGGAGGGGAATAAAAACAACAAGCTAAAAACACCCCAATGATATATATACAGAATGATAATAAACTATTTACAGGAAACTAAACAAAATCATGTTAGTAATAAAAACCCCACAAACCTTAATTGTGGCAGAAAATTCAGTTAACTGGACGAAATCGATGCGGGGCTTTAAGAAAATAGAAAAGCATTCATTCATCCCAACCACTCACACAGACATGCACTCAATCTGACACAACAACAAATACGAAAAACACACACGCGAAACGAAAGGCGCCCCGCACCCACCAGAGAACTGAAATCACTAACCACCTGAACGAGGGAGGGATGGGAGTTAAACTAAAAAAAAAAAAAAGGGACAGAAATAAAAAGGGGCCAATGAGCAAACATACCCTAGATAAGTTAACTGAAAAGAAAAACTAAAAGCATCAAAGACCTAACTTTAACCTAAACCAGGAAGGGTTGCCCAAGTTCAACCCAGAAAACAATATCCTGATGCCTAACCGGCATCAAAATGCCACTCCAGGTCAGCCCCTTTTACACGACACAAACGCGCAAGATTCACCCACCTATTGCTGAATTCTGATGAGGTGAGTCGCCGCCTTTCCGTCCTAATTTTGATGCTTAATGTACATGATCAGTTCGGAAGAAGTGAACCTCTCGCCCTCATAGAATCCCTTCTGACGCGTCGTCCAAATCACGACTCTCATGACACCTAATAAGCAAAAGAACACATAATGTTCAGCCTTCGTCATCTGCGGTACCACATTGCTACAAACAGAACTGGCCTCAAGGACAAAGAACTTTCCCTGCAGCATGCGGACTATGAGGCCTTCAACAAACTTGCACAACGGCACTACCACCCTGCAATGAAAGAAGGCGTGACCAATGGTCTCGACTTCCCCCGTACAGCGACGGCAGTTTGGAGATTTCTCCAAAACCGCTGAACAAAGTCTTTTGCCGACCCAGAGGGCCCCACGAATCACCAGCCAGGTGAGTGATGCCTCATCGTTAGTGAGGCATTTCAACCCGGGCGCCCAAGGCCATATCGAGCGAGCCTCCTGCTTCGTAAGCCCGAGCTCGTCAACGGCCCCCCTAACTAACACTTGATACAATGCCCGACGAGACAACGCCTGAGCGTTGGAGAGGCCATCCGTCGCCCGTAAGAGGCAATTCAGAGCACGACGACATTCACGGTAGAAGGAGCACTCGGCTCGGGGTGTACGGCCGGCCTCCTCCTCGCACGAGTGCACACTTCTCAGGGATGGGAAGTTTTTACGGACGTCTTCCTTCCAGAAGGCGCCCACCTCATCCGATTCGCGACACATTCGGTCGAAGAAGGTGATGCGAAGCATATGTTGACGAATCTCAATGCTAGGCATACCCAGACCGCCTTCAGCAGGATGAAGGCAACAGATCTCCCGAGAGACTCTGGCGGCCTTGCCTCCTCACAAGAAGGAGAACAAGAGCCTCACTAACGCCAGCAAAGTGTCAAACGGAAGTGGAAGCACAGAGAGTCGGTAAAGGAGAATCGGGTAGATGTGTGAAACACATACTTCCGCCCTCCCCTTCAAGGAAAGCCTCCTCCGAGACCACAAATTAATTGCGATCTCGGCCTTCCCTTGCACCTCCGACCAATTCATATCCAACTGGAGATCAGGGCCGAACCAGACGCCGAGAATCTTGATCGGCCCATCCGTCCAGAGGAAAGGTCCGGGAAGAGAAACTCCCTTCCACGCACCCAACCGCAAGCCAACAGACTTATCGCAGTTGATATTGGCCCCTGTCACCATCTCATAACCACTGATCTCTTTGCTGACTTCGTCAATCTCGGCTCTGCTCGACACAAGAACCGAAACGTCATCAGCATAGGCGGAATACCTGGCTGAGGTGGTAGCCCCAGGCAGGGAGATTCCACATAGGACCGGATTCGCCTTTAACTTGCGAAGGAATGGTTCCAACGCAAGAACCTAAAGCAAAGGCGATAACGGATAACCTTGACGAATGGAGCGAGACAATACGAAAGGCTTCGATCTTACCCCATTCACTTCTACCAGCGCACCGGGGGTCGCATACAAAAGTCGGATCCAGGAGCGAAAGTCGGCTCCGAAACCGGCAGCCGAAAGGACAGCCTCCAGAAAGCGATGGTCAACCCTATCGAAGGCCTTGGACTGATCTAAATTGATCAGCGCGGCTTCACTGTCGACTTGTTCTAAGATCAAGCGTACCATATGAAGGTTATCTTGAATAGTCCTGCCCTTCACAGCACAAGTCTGTTCGGGGCCAATCAGACGAGACAGGACAAGCTGCAAACGGTTGGCTAAGATCTTCGCCAAAATCTTTAAGTCAGTATTTAACATCGTTAAAGGGCGAAAGTTCCCTAACCCATCCCCACCGTTCTTGTCCTTACGCAGCAACTTGTCACACCCCCTGGTGAAGCGTTGGGGTATAGACCCTGCTTCATCCAGTTGTTGAAGATCAGTTCCAGCAAAGGAACAAAACGGGCGACTGCCTCAAGTAAACTTCATAGGGAAGACCATCTAGTCCCGGAGATTTATCCAGGCCAACCTGTTTCAGCGCTTCCCAGATTTCCGACTCCGTAATTGGACCCTCGCACCTAGCCGCTTCAACTGCCTCGAGGCAGGGAAAGTCGGCCAAATAGGCGTCGAACTGAGCAGGGCTCAGACCGGGCTCCCTGGTGAAAATGTCCTGAAAGTAGTCCCGAAAGGCCTCGCATATGCCCGCGTTTGTAGTCACGGTCCGATTATCCGGCAATGTGACGCACGCGATATGTCGCTGAGCCGCGCTCCGATTTTCCTCTGCACACAGTTCAGCGGCCATATCCGTCGCCTCAGAGGACATTCTTTTTAACCTAGCCCTAACTACCAGAGCTTGATCCTTCTTTATAAGCAAGGACAACTCTGCCTAGCTAAGGCTATTTCCCCACTATCACGGGATTTCACTGCCCGATCAACTTTAATCGCCGCTAATCTATTTAGATTAGAGTCGACGGCTAAATTCGGCAGCAAACGTTCTAATTTTCGATTTTAATTTACCCCACCAGGCGTTCCCAATAACCGCCCCCGTCAATTCCCTTTGAATCATTAGTAACAGCTGGTCCCGGAAATACTGCTCACCAAATAGTGAACAGTTTAATTTCCAGTAGTCAGCCAGCTTAGCCTTAGGCTTATCTAAGTTTACACGGACCCGGACAAGCCTATGATCCGTATAAACTATATAGTGGAAACTTGGACACCCTAAGAGCCCTACATCGACTCTCCTAATTAAGACTCGGTCGAGGTAGCTAGCAAGCGTCCCAGGAACCGAGCTGCCACTATTTGTCCAAGTCCATGCTACCTCCCGAGGGTGTTCATTCCGGTACTTATCGACAAGATCAAACTC